TACTACTTGGGAAAACAAAACAGGTCTGTAAATTACATGGGACCTTTTTAACCCTCATTTGTGATCTCCTTAGATTGACAGTGCTTTGTCATTGATTTTCAGCTTTTTCATTTCAGTGAAGGTCCAGATAGTGAATAGTGTAAACCCTGCCCTCCACTGCAGCACAGCAAAACCAGCTGTGGAAAATACAAATCAGGAGTGTGAACTTGTTCTACTGATTACAGAATCCCTGGATTTTTTTCAGAATAATTCCTCTATCTCTTGAGATACTAGGTTTTGTGATAATTTTTGGAAACAGCATTGTCAGTTTTATTCATGAGTTTTTTTTATTTATTTTATAAATACAAAGTGTATTCTGAGTTTTTTATTAAAAAACTACCATTTGAAAAACAAATTTAGGGAATAATAAGTACAAATATTTTAAGTTACTAGATAATAACCTTCATTTTGTAGGGTAATTATATTTTTAAAAATTTATTATTTTGCTAAAGAAAACCATTTCTTTACCTAGTAACAAAAGAAATAAAACTTGTATAGAATATTTAATGTTACTTAGCAGATTTCTTAAAACCAACTAGATAGAACTAATAATGAATTTGGTTTTTGTTCTTTTTCATTGTTACATTATTTTCCCTGCAGTCATTTTTATATTCTTTATTAGAACTAAAGTAGAGCATATGTAAGTAAATACAGTTGGGTTGGTTTTATTTTTTTAACTTAATTGCTTTGGATCTTCTCTTTGAAGAAGATGCTGTCTTTTTAAAATTAATTTTTATTAGTTCTTTTGAGAATTTCATGACTTTTAGCTATATTCCTCCCCTGCTCTTCTTCCAGATATGCCTCCACTTCTTTCACACCCAACTGTCTGACTTCTCTCTTTTTTCCACATTAAGTCCCAACATGTGCTGCTAGTATGTTCATAGGACATAGGACTTTCTGCTGGAGCTCAGTCTACCTACCAGTGGCAACACTCTTATCAACGAAACCTACTCTGACTTTCTCAGCAAGTGTCAGTTACCTATGGCTCTTACTCTAGGGGTGAGGCATTTTGTCCTCCTTGTGTCTCCATGCTGGTGTTTGTATAGGGCTTGTACATACAGTCATAACTGCTTTGTGACTTCGTATGTGCGGCTTCTTGGTTATGTCTGAGGACTGTGTTTTCTTGTATTTATTTACCACCTCTGTCTCTCAGTCTTTCTTCCCCCTCTGCCCTATTAGGCCTGAGTATTCTGATAGCTCCTGTTCTTGAACCTTGTTTAGTTGTGGGTCTACTTCTCTGATAAGGGTTAAAAAATGCATTGATCTGCATCCCTGCAAAGTGGAAAGGCTAGAGGTTCTGATGCTGTGTTTTAATGTCAGTTTGCCCTTCAAAGGGGAATTTTCATTACTTATTGCTGAAGAAAGAATTTTTTTAAGTTAAGTGAAATTATTACACACTTTTACAAAGGTATCCTTAGTGGATTATATACTATCTGTATATTTTGAGGACCATTGGATTTAAGTCACCCAATTTCTTCTACACTTGTTAGTGTTATGGTCTCCCCCCTCCCTCCCCCAAGTGACACAGGAACATAGTTTCTGGAGAGATAGCTTTAGAATATTGAGTTGATTTTAATTTTTTTAAATTTTATCTGTTGTTCTAGTTTTCAAAGGCTGCTGTAAGAAAGTATACCACAAACTGACTTGCTTTAAACAACAGAAAATTTTGCTCATTAGACTGGAGACCACAGATCTAAAGTAAAGATATTGAATGGGCCATGTTCTTTCTGAAAGCTCCAAGAAGAACAATTTATTGCTGGTTTTGTAGCCTAGTAGTTGTTTGCTTTGGATTTCTTATAGCAGTATTGCTTCATTCTTGCGTTCTCCATGTAGCCTTCCTCTCTGTACCTCTGTCTACTTGTGTATATGAGGACATCCTAAGTCAGTGTGCTTTCATCTTGACTACAGTACGAAGTGTCATCTTTCTAAAGACTGCAAGTAACATTCACAAGTATTATATTAGGAGCTTATGTATCTTTTAGAGAAGCACAGTTGATACACGCGTTCACTTTATAGTCATCATGAAAATACATTCTAGTTCTTACTTTTCTAAGTTGTATCTATAGTCAAATTGATGCTTGGGATTTTTGTTTGTTTTAAAGTCTTTTACTTACTCTTATTTTTGTCTGTTGGTGTTTTACCTGCATGAAAGTGCACTATACGCGTATAGTATTCTCAGAGGTCCAAAGAGGGTGTAAATGGAGTTATAGGCTCTTGTGAGCTACTGCAGAGTGGGAGCTGGGGGTCGAACCTGGGTCATCTGGAAGAGTGTCCAGGTACTCTTAACCTCTGAGCCATTTCATCAGTCCTTAGTTGATTTTCACAATATTTTTAACTTTAGTTATCTTTATGGTTTTGGCATCTACTGCTTTTTTTAAATAATCTCCCATAATGAAAATTATACTCATGGTTATTATTACTGTGACTTGCTTGAGTAATGTTTATAATTATATATAAAATTATAATGACTTAGCTATATTCATCCCCTAATGCTAATAATTATGATTGCATTTTAAAACCTGGTATACTTTTAATTTGACTATCATTCTGTTAGTTCATGGCTACTTGTATGCTTCTTTGTATTTGTTACTAGCTCTAATATATAACAGTTGTTTGTATAACACTTGTTTGTAAGAGATTTTCAAGACGATTAGTGAGATTGTGGAATTACAGTAATTGTTCCGCATGTTTGTTGGCTTGCTAGAGTGTAACTTCATACAAGCCCACTTTTAGTGTAATCTGCAAGTGTGGTGGTGCTTTAAGTGATTCATAAAGGAATACAAATTGTACATATTCATAGGGTACCTTGTGGTGCTTTAAAATGTGTGCATTGGGTGTAATATTTAACTCAAGATACTCTATCATATCTCCTCATACATTTATTATTTTATTGCGATGAAAATATTCAGAATCCCTTCTAGTATTTGAAATATACAATACAAAATTCTTAGTTGTTTTTCTCACTATAACTTAATACCCACTGATAAATCCTTTATATTTTCTTATCCTACCTACCCAAGGCTACTATCATTTTACTTCCAACTTTTTAATTTTAGGACACAGTACTTGGTTCCTTATACCTAGCTTTTTTTCATTTAACAACGTCTTGAGATATATTTATACACACACGCACATATATATATATATATATATCTCATAATTTTACCCATTCATCAGTTGACAAACAGCTTATTTCTGTATCTTGCCAATCATAAATAGTGTTGCAATAAACATATGAATGCGGGCTTCTCAGTAAATACATTTTACATTCTTTTTTTTTTTTTTGTGGATTACCTTGTAATGGGATTACTGGATCATAGTAGCCCCTTTCTCCACAGCCTAGCCAACATTCTTATTAGAGTAAATTATTGTTTTTATTTGCATTTCTCTGGTCAGCCATGTTGAGCCTTTTTTCATGTATCTCTTTCCCATTTGTATTTGTTCTCTTGAGAAATGTCTTTACATTGATTGCTTATTTTAACATAAACATTTTTTTTCTTTTGTTGAATCAAATGCCGGTCCTCTACAAGAACAGCAGGTGCTTAGAAAGTTCTCTGCCCTGTAATAAAGTTATTTTGTTAAATTGCAAGTTACGAAATGAGTATACAGACATCATAGCACAGTTATACATTGATAGCAAGTTGTCTCAAATAAGAAACAAGGAACTAATGACATAATAATTGTATAAAGTTTACATGTGTTAACTGAGCAAATATTTGTCTTATTAAAAAAGACATAAACCAAACCCAATTGTTCTGTTTAAAATTGTTACTCTGATGAGTCTCTCACATATTTTGGTAACAAATAATTTTTACTTAGAGATTTCATGTATAAATTATGAAATCCATTTTCATGGAAGTGTTCTTTGTTGAGACCCTTTGTAGTTACTCCTCTTTAGAGGTAACTTTGTCAGTAGTCTTTTAAGTGTCCTAAAGTTTTCTAGGGTTTCAACCCCAAATACATGTTTGAGTCACTTAGGAAGCTTTAAGTAAAAGTAAAATTATCATCATGTACGCATGATATGAGAATTGTTCCTGGATTAGACATTGAAACAGATTTTTAAAATGGGTAAAAATGGATAGCAAACCCCCACACACTTTTAATACTTATTTATTCTGTTCATTTTATCTGTGCCTGAATTTTGGCAAGTTTAATCTGATACGGGTTTTGTTCAGGTAACCACGTGATTGTGATAGCACGCCATGTCCACAAGTCAGCATTTTGCAGCACTTCTTCCCACCTTTTGGCTCTTACAGTTTCACTCTTCTAAGATGATCCTAAGATATTCCTCACTTGTGGTGTACACATCGGAGGGTTAATATACATGTCCCAGTTGGTGCTGAGCACTGATTCTTATTCTCAGTGTTTGGCCAGTTATGCATTTTTCCATTGACTACTTTCCAATTTAAAGAAGTTGCTTCATTGACAAAGTTTGAGATCAGCCCAGATCTATCCACAACTGGAGTTTTGAAGAGTTTTAAGATTTTTTTTTTTATCTTAACATATCTCATACATGTGAAATGTGTGGTTTTTATCAGAATGTGCTCTTAACCTTTGCTATAGAATATTAAGATTAATTATATACAAATAATTATATATACATATAATATAATGTATAATTATATGTATATATACACACACATACATACACAGACACACACACACACACACACATATATAAATAATGGACCTACCATCTGGCTCCAGAATAGTGTTTTGTACCATTGTCTTTTGAGTCCTTGATACCTATCTTTGTGGAATCACTGTTCATATCTGTTGATTTTTAACATTGAAAGTAAGCTCTCAGATTCAAGAACTGTTCTGTCACATTATCATTCAGCTCGATTTTTTTTGTCCCAATAAAATGTTTTATATTGACGCAAAGATATTTGAGTAACACTTGTTACTTACAGAAACATTTGCTTAGTGTATTGTTTTTAATTTTATCACTGTTTCCTTAGTGAAGCTGTGGTCCACCAATTTAGACAATTCTGTGGCAAGCATTGAGGCAAAGGCTAATGTGTGCTGTGTGAAGTTCAGCCCCTCTTCCAGGTACCATCTGGCTTTCGGCTGTGCAGGTAAGAAATTAAAGTAAATTTATCTTATTTTGATTTTTGTTTTAACATGCCTAAAAGTGCATTTGAAAATGAATTGGCTACTTTTTAAATCGTAAGTTTTTCTTTTCATCATTAAGTTATGATATACTGAGAGGTGCATCATTCTCATCTACTGCTTTTCCTGACTGTGATATTCTGTCACCTATCTTTAACACATTGAGAGGGGCTTGTGGATTTTTGTTGGTTGTGTGCTAAATGTTTTAGAGACTAACAGAATAGTATTTATTAAACAGCTGTACTGAAAGGATAGGGAAATTTTTAAGAAGCCTATTAGGTTCTTTGACTGTAGTCATTTCCTGTTATGCATAAAACACTGAAGGGGAATAAACATGCCAATTATTTATCACAGAGTACATGTTAATGTAGTATTTTTTAAAGATACATGTTCTAGTCATAACAATGAGTTATCTGGAGTATTTTTGTCATTCAGCTTTATGCTTGTACACAGAGTGGCGGTTTTCATTGTGCAGAAGCCATGAGTTTCAGAATAAGTCACATTCTCGCCCTACTTGTAATTTTTTGTGTTTTTATTTTTTATCCCTTTAATTCTTACTTTAAAAGTAAATACCTATAATTCAATATGTGAAAGTTCCTGAAAAGCTAACAACATGTACAGAGCACATTAAAACTGTTGAAAAGGAACACGTGTTCAAGCTTTAACCATCATCAGTGCTTCTGTTTCCATATGCCTGTCATGTCCTGTTGATATACTCTCTCTTCACATTAACCAGAAATGTAATCTTGAACAAGTTAGCTCTTACAAGTGGATTCTCATGTTGATGCTTAGCTTATTGTGTACGTGCTAGGTATACACATCTTGAAATATTTCTTCCTGGTATAAATTCTGATTATTTTTTTACTTTTCCATTTAAGGATTAATATTCACATTTTCTAGGTCAGCAAAATCAATGTATTATAAAAATAATTAACAGTAATTAGTTAGAATTACAAATATTTAATAGTTCTGGGATCATTATTATTGATGTTGTATGTTTCCCCATTTAATTTCATGCAATGAATTTCTTTTAATTTGGATTGTTTTCATAAGTGAAATTTGATAGCTTGTTTCCTGTAGGGTCTGGAATTTCTCTGGTCAACTTTTCTTTTTTCTGTATAATTTTGTTGTGATTTTAAGCAGAGTAATAGTTCCAATTCTCTGTTGTGCTACCTTTTTTTCCTCTGGTCCATGTGTCCCATATTCCATTACTAACCACCATGCTGCATCCAGGCAACAACACACAAACTGGCAACCAACGCAATCCAATTGTACAAAGATCTGAGGCTTACAGTACATTTAAGAGTACCTAGAAAGTGTGGTTTATCATGTAAGCCTCTACCTGAGGCTAAAGTGGGCCCAGCTACCTTTTCCTCAGCCACTTGCCTCTTAAAAGACACTGATTTTTTTTTCCTTCTACAATGATCAAGAACAAACTATACCACATGTTTCCTATGCAGTGAGTTGACTACTACTTTCTTTAATCTCTAGTGATAATGGCGTTGTCCATGTTCTGCTAGATATTGGGTTCAGAATGGCAGACATCTCAGTATGAGTCATCCTTAGAGCCCACAATCTGATAAACAGAGACTAGACATAGGACCATGGTATTGTGGCCTGTCTGCTGCTCTGGTATTGGTATAGTCGGAGACTAGACAGCTAAGACAGCCACAGGTGATGCTGGCCAGAATACAAATTCCTTTTACTCTGGCCACAGATCCCTCCCCCCAACCCCCACCCCAGCACCAGGGTGAGTTTAGAATGTGGTTTTCTCCAAGATACAAAAGCTCTAGGTTTTAGTGGCCTGGTAATGTGTGGTTTTTCTTTAGCCTCAGGGGATTGGAGTCTTGCTTAGCTTTGTGCTATCTAGGCTCAAGTAAGAGGTGGTAGAGGCAGATCATTGATACCAGACCAGCTTCACCCATAGTTTTATTGCATGAGCACTGACTTGGGCTTGTCAGATGGTGGATTAAGTTTTAAGCCCCAAGCTAGTTTTTTTTTTCTTTCCTCTCTACCCTTAGCTAGCTGTTTCTCTTTTCTTTCTGTTGCTGTCTTTTGTGTTTTATAGTCTTCTTGCTTTTGTTGGGCTAAAACAAGATACTATGATCTCTCTCCTGGATTCCTTACCTCAGTTTTCATAAACAATGATTCAAAATAATGTTTGAATGTTAAGATGATCTCCCTTACTCAGCCACCCCCTTGCTCTGATGAAAACAACAAATCCAGTTAAATCGTTTGCCTTCCTTTTCTTCACTTGGTACATTTATCTCTTAATTTTATTATTTTAGATCACTGTGTCCACTACTACGATCTTCGTAACACTAAACAGCCAATAATGGTGTTCAAGGGACACCGAAAAGCAGTGTCTTATGCCAAGTTTGTGAGTGGTGAAGAAATTGTCTCTGCGTGAGTATTCTCCTTGGAGGGTCAGCTGGATACAGAAGTCTCATCATTGATGTTGTAGGTTTATGCAAAGAAGGACCTTGGATTACTTTCTCAAATAGCAACAGATTTGCATGTCTTCCATTGAAATACATGTATCTTACCTGCTTTGTTTATTTTTATATTACTTGTGAATGTTACTTTTTGTTAGGCCCTCTTGTATTTATAATTTATTTAATATTTGAACTTCCAATTTGATTTCTATTACTACAATGATTCAGAATATTGTTTGGATGTTAAGATGATCTCCCTTACTCAGCCACCACTAGAGGTAACCAGTATGTTTGGTGTGATAGAAAGAAAAATAATTTATTTGATTAAAGTAAACCAGTGTGTTACTACGTAAGCCTACCTTCATTATAGTAGTAGACTGATGATTGGTTTTAAATGACTTCTTGATTTTTTTATAATAACCCAAACCAGTTTATCATTAAGATCTATTTTAAAGAGAACTTTGTAAGTGTGCCTGCTTATACTCAGCAAATGTCCTTTGTAAAACCTTTTAGTTGCCATTTTTAAATAATAAAATGTCAGTGATATAAAGTAACTTAACCAAACTACAGAACTTTTATAATGATACAGGTAATTCCATATTTTGGTTATCTATCTTATAATCTAGTAAATCCATATATAATTTCTCGCTACAAGCTTTCTTATTTTTTTACTTGGTTCCTTATCTCTCTTAGAAGCTTGTTTATACCAATGCCTTGAATTTTGCTTTATATCTTCACCTTCTCACCAGTTGCTCTAAATAAGAATTTGGTGATTTGGCAAGACAGCAGAGGACAAAAAATATTCATAACTGAGCTCTCCAAGGGAGTTATGTGGGTAGTTAATTAATGAGCTTAAATTAAGTTGTAGCTAAAGTGTACTCCTTCTTGAAAATAACTATAATAGGCAGTAAATAACCAAAAATGAGGTACGCTGTAAGTGAAAACATAAAAGAACATTCATCGCAACACTGGATGAACAACATGAAACAGATTAGAGCACATTTCTTGTAATTTTTTCTTAAAGATTTATTTATTTAGTTTATGTATATGAGTCATGCACACCAAAAGAGGGCATTGTATCCCTTGGTTGTGAGCCACAGTATGATCCTGGGAATTGAACTCAGGACCTCTGGAAGATCAGGCAGTGCTCTTAATCTCTGATGTCCAACTCCCAAAGCACATTTCTAAAAGACCTGAAATACTCAGACCATTGGGATCTTGCAGTATTCAGTTGTCACCTACTGAACCTCAGTTTTCTCATCTTCAAAATGGGGCTAATAATAGCACTAAGTTTTTAATCTTTAATGTGATAAAGTAGGTAAAACCTGTATCATACTGTCCTGTTCAATGATCAGTGTAATTAAAAAGATTTAATTATGTAGCCCTTAATAAATATATAGTGCCTTAACAAAAGTATAATCAAGTAATTCAGTATTGGAAAGCAGTTTGCAAAATATCAGTCCTAAAATTGCCTTTGTCTAGTAGAATTACTAATAATCTTTATTCAAAAAAAATTCTTTTGGGTAAATTCTTTCAGCAAAATAAACTACATCATGTAGTTGTATTTCCAACAATACCCCTCACCTGGAGGGCATAGCATGAAAATAATGTATGTCTACTATACTACTAACTCACCAGTTGAAAGATAAATCACAATGAGAAGAATGAAGGTTTCCCTGAAATGAAACACATCTCTCAGGGCAAAGTCTCATTATTGATTGATGGTGGGACAGTGGTATTGGCGCCATTAATGCTTGCTTTCTGTCTACCCAGGCATTATTGAAAGTGTATTAAACGAGTTCAGTTTGTATAGGATTGGGTTCATTTAATTCTATAAAGTAGATTATTACATCTCATATTTCTCTGTTAAAACTGGAGCCAAAGAGGACAAGACTCAGATGCGCCACCACAGTTCTAACCACAAAATTAGATTGCTTTTTAAAATTAACTAGTTGTGATAGTTTCATGCCATGAAATCAAAAATTTGCTCCTCTTTGTGTTTATCTCAGCTCAACAGACAGCCAACTAAAACTGTGGAATGTGGGGAAACCATACTGTCTACGTTCCTTCAAGGGTCATATTAATGAAAAAAACTTTGTAGGCCTTGCTTCCAATGGAGATTATATAGCTTGTGGTAAGTGAACTTGTATTTTTGAACAAACTTTACAAATACATCTCATGGCACTTTTCAGTGCGTTCTGTGCACTAGGAAGGTAGCATCGCAGCCTTGATGCCTAGAACTGTATCCTTTTCTTCTCTAATCACCCTGGGGAGCACTAGTTTTCATTTCTGCATATGAGCCCCATATTCATAGTATTGTCAAAGATTTCAGTGCTTGCTTGTCATTCTAAATATGCCATACTTTCTGTAAGTATGTTGTAAACCATAGAAACTATTAATTTCTGTTAGTTATATTTCAAGAAGACATCTTTTCAGAAGCTTGATACTCCTTTTACCCTGTCTAGTATCTTTTTGATTTAGCGATCTGTTTGGCTTACATGAATCTAATTCATGAGTTTTTATTATATTAGAATTTGTGCAAATTTAAATCTGAAGTAGAAAAATTCATTTTGCTATTATTCAAATGTTCTCATAGAGTAAGTGAACTTTTGTCAACACTTTTAAATGATATTGCTTTATTCTATATTGCCCTTATTCTCCTAATGTATGATCTTGAATACCACCAAAGTAGATATCAGCACAGTTATCCTTAGAGTCTCCTGAAGTGTGTCAGGTTGATGCTATGTGGAAAGTGGAGAGTCAGTTTGGGCTATTCAGATTGGCCTTTGAAGTACTACAACCTTCATTTTCCTCTCATCATGGTAATAGTTTCAAATGCAGTTTAAGATTCTTGTTTCAGTAACAACTTTTTAATGCACAGAGCTCTGCTATGACTGATTTTTTTATGTATATATTAAAAAAATTTTTCAGTTTTAGAATTATCAACACTGTTAAGTCATTTAACAGTGCTTATATATTTAAATTAGTAAACAATAGTTTTTGTACCCTTTCTCAAGTGGTTCCGAAATTAATTGTTCATGTGATCTTATCTTTCAGATTTAAATATAAAGATAATTAGTCTCTTTAATAAAACTAACAATTACTGTCTAAATGTCATGTTTGGGAACTGGGGCTAGAAATGAAGTCCACTGTAGCTAAAGGACTTAGACTGAGTTTCCGCCACGGAGTGGGGAGGGACAGATAGAAAGGACGGAATTCTAGCCGGCCGGCCATGGTGGCCAGACACCTATGGTCCTAGCATCTGACAGGCAGAGGGAAACAATTGTGAGTTAAAGGACAGCCTATGCTACATAGCGAGACTCTCAAATAAATATTTATGTATTCTAAGTTTTTCCATTCTAAAACAATTACTTTATTTCTTTGTAGGAAGTGAGAACAACTCCCTCTACCTATACTATAAAGGACTTTCTAAGACTTTGCTAACTTTTAAGTTTGATACAGTTAAGAGTGTGTTAGACAAAGACCGGAAAGAAGATGACACGAATGAATTTGTCAGTGCTGTGTGTTGGCGGGCACTGTCAGACGGGGTAAGTTTTCATATATACATTTTAAGCATGTCATTTTATATAATGTTCATGAATACATGTAATAGATTGTTTTATTGCTTTTGTTTTAGATTTTAAGGTATAACTGGGTAAATGGTGTTTTCTCTTTTTGTCGGGCATCACAATGCCAGGGGTGGGGGCAGTGTTTTTACAGTTAGTATAAGTATAGCGTCTATAAACTTGACAGCAGTAATGTAGCCCTTAACATTCACTACTGCATACTGACTCACACAAAGCAGCTTTCAGTCCTGAATGTCATAGCCAGGTATAAATATAAATAAATATAAATATACCGAGCCATAAATCTTCTGTACCATATTTTAGCTTAGCATTTTATGTCTGTTTATATAAACAAGTACTCAATACCAAGTATATCACCAGTTTACTTAGTACTTAGTATTAACAGTAACATATAGTATAGATTGTAATTTAGGAGCAATAGATTTTATGTATATCCTGGGAAAGTGTTGGGCTGGATCATGGAGCTTTACATAAGTATGTGATATAATGTTTCCATAACAACAAAATTAATGAACAGGTCATTTCTTAGCATGTCCACACTTGCCTTGAAACATGACAGAAGAATTTCCAGACTAGGAATGAGCTACACTCAGAGAAGCTCCTTATAGGCAGAGAACTTGGGTTCTCGTGTTCCTAAGCTCCATTGTGTGTGTGACTGTAAGTGAATAAATATGATCTAGTGTAAAACAGTGAAAGGTAAGCTGTCACATTGAAAATCAACTGCAGACCCTGTGCATCCCTGACATTGAACTGGGAGGACTTGGACTGAGGGTGCCCATGAAAACAGACTTAAATTATCTGTAAAAGAAAATTAACATAATTGCTTTGCTCATTTATTCTTTTGCTTTTTAAAATACAGTAAGCAGGGCACAGTAGCAGCTAAAAGAGCACAGGAAAATATAAGACAAAAAATAGAAATTTAGCATAGCAGCACACAACAGAAACAGAATGATAACAGCTCTGGATTACAATCCACTCACCTGGCTTATAGTAACCATGCTTATAAAATGAAAGACATGATTGAAAGTTTCATTTGGGAATTGGAAACAAATTTTAAAATGAAAACACACAATGAATTCTGTGGATGAGTTAAATGGAAGATAAGGAGGAACAGAAAGAGCTGCCACCAGTGACTAAGTTAGGAGGAAGTGTATAGAGGAAAGCATGGAGGGGAAGGGATATGTTTCTGTTGGTAGAATACTTCTTGTTGAAGCATGAGGCCCTGAGTTAGGTCCCTAGTTCCTACATAAGAAAGGCTAAGCACACTGGCCCACACTCATCATGCTGTGGAAGCAGAAATAGCGGGATCCCTGGAGGATTTTGTCTAGTGAGTCTCAGAAGAATCAGGTGGAGCATGACTGAGGAAGACACTACTGTCAGCCTTTGTCCTCTTTACACTCCCTAAAAGGACTGTGCTGCCAATATGATGGGCAAATGAAGAAATGAAGGAAAGGGTCCAGAATATCATTTACTATATTCAGGAAGAGACTATAAAATGTGAGAAGACAAATAATTTTTTAGGAACAAGAGTTAGAAGTCACCATTTTTCAGAGTCTTAAAAAGTTAATAAAAGACATCAAGGTAAAGATTAGTTGAACCGTAGATCTTCAGGGAGTGGAGATGTGGAATGCACAGTACCTGTCAATGTAAATACCATAGGACCTCCCTTGGATTGTCTTCTCACAGCACTGTTTCATTGAAATACATTAAGACAAAGATAAACTCTTTATCCTAGTTTCAGATGAATCCCTTATTTTTAAACACTTTTAGTGGACTAGAGAATCATGAATTGACATACCAGCCCTGCCTCTATATGTATACTCAATAGTATAAGAGTGATTGAAAAACAAAGCATACTATTGTGTTGAGGTAAACTAACTGTCTCTGGGTGATAATATGTACACTGAGTGTGAGTCAAGAACCCTGCCTATAAGAGCTTGAGCGCTTGGTCTACTGAGTTTAAAGATTTGTGGTGCCATACGTTATTTTCTTCTGTATGGCTTAATAATTTTTTGCTAGATAAACACCAGTTGTCTTATCTTCTGACTCTTGCTAATGATGTGGTCTTTACTATTTGATGGAATGGAATGGAATGGAATGGATGGATGGATGGATGGATGACATGAAAGGATTCCACATGAAGATCAAGCTGCATATCTGCGCTGTGTGTGTGTGTGTGTGTGTGTGTGTGTGTGTGTGTGTGTGTGTGTGTAAGGGTCCAGGTTAGTTGACTCTTGTTCGTCTTCCTGTAGAGTTCCCATCCTCTTTGGATCCCTTAATCCTTCCCCTGACTCTTCCACAGGACTCCTGAGCTCCTGAGGTTCATCTGATGTTTGGTTGTGGGTCTCTGCATCAGTTTGGGTAGAGCCTCTCAGATGACAGTTATATTAGGATCCTGTTTACAAACAGTGTATGTATCATTAATAGTGACAGGGATTAATAGTGACTTGCTCATTGGATAGGTCTCAACTTGGGCTAGTCATTGGTGGGCTTCTCTAGTACGTGCCAAAGACCTGGGAGGGGGGCACCCTCTAGGATGTCTATGGGGTTGACTTTAGCTGAAACGCCTAACAGTGGGGCATACCAGGCAGGACTCCTAGTGGAAGGATCAGGTTAGCAACCCACTCAAAACTTTTGACCAAAAATGTATCCAACCTACAAAATGGACAGGAACAAAGAGCAGAGATATTTTGTTTTGTCAAAAAATTGTTTAATTTTAATGTAATAGGCTATATGATGCCATTTTTATGCAAATACATAAACTACTTTTAGCAGCCCCACCCACATACCACTGCCTTCTCTTTTTTTGTTGCCCCCCTATTAGTTCCCTTTGTTTCCATATCTACTTTAATGTTATCTGTGCATATGATTTTCTATGTATATATAAAGTCTAGGACCCACCATTGAAACACAACATGTAATATTTGTCTTTCAGAGACTGGTTTAACTAACTTACTGATAATCCTCTGTTGCATTCATTTCCAGCGAATAATCTTTATAGTGAAAAAATCCATTATGAATTTAAGCCTCATTTTTTATCAATTTCTTTGTTGATGGATTTATTGGTTGGTTTCATAATGTATCTATTATAAAATGTCTTCCAGTAAACATCAATATGCATGAGGTATCTGTGAGATAATTAATTTGGAGTTCTTAGGCATATACTCGGAAGTAGGAAAGCTAAGCGATAATGTTGGGGTTTTTTTTGTGTTTTGTTTTTTTTTTTTTTTTGTATTTTGAGGAGCTTCCATAGTGAATGGACTTGCTTATAGTCCCAGCAGCAGCATTCAGGGCATTCCTTTTATTCATATCTTCACCAGTATCTGTTGTCTATTTTCTTGATGAAAGCTGTTCTGATTAGAGTGATACATCCTAAGATCATTGAGGTTTGAGGCTACATTAGTAAATGGTCACCATGGTATGCAAATAGACCTAAAATGTATATACCTCTTGTCTAATAGGAACTTTGTACTCTCCAAAAGCAATTTACAGATTAAGTGCAATCTTGAACAGAATCTCTCACAATATTATAGCAATAGAAAATAAAATCATAAAATTAATATGGTAACACAAAAAACCCCAGGCAGCATTAGCAATCTGAACACCAAAGAACAGTGCTTAGAAGGATCACCATTGCAGATTCCAGGAGATAGTGCTGAGCTGCAGTAATGCCAACAGTGCAGTTCTCACACAAACAGATGTAGATAGACCCAACATGAGTGTGCGTGTGTGTGTATATACATACATACATACATACATACATACATACATACATACATATGTACGTATACACAACAGCCATCTGATGGTGACAAAGAGGTAGGCAATATCTTCAACAACTGTTGCTAACAAGACTGGTTGCATGTGTGTAGGATGAAATTAGATTCATCTCTAACACCATGCACAAAAATTAACCCCAAATGGATCAGTGTACTCAGTATGATACATTGAAATTGTTGGAATAAAAAATAGATAATATCCTATAAGAAACAGTTGTGAGAAAGAACTTTCTGAATACGACTCGGTTATCCAAGAGTCAATGTCATACAACTAAAAAGCTGTTGGACAGCTAAGGAAATGATAACTCTGGTGAAAAGTAAGCTCACCAAGTGAGAAAAGTTATTCATCCGACAGAGGATTAACATCCAGGATATGTAAGGAACTTAAAAAACAGTCAGTCATGTGACCCAATTCAGAGGTGGACTATTGATTTAATGGAGAGTTTTCAACAAAAGAAATAAAAATGACTAAATAAGGCAGCTCTGGGGTGCCTGGAAAGAGAGACATCCAAGCTTCTGCTCTGGCTGTGCTTGGGCGCCTCTACAGAAAAGGAATATGTGATGGTGAGATGGGAAAGGAAGTGAGTGGTGGAAAGCTAGGAGAGAACACAAGGCCTAGCAATTCATGCACTGCGGAGAGAAGTAGAACTGGAGACACAACCAGCAATGAGCCATCTGGGATTATAGTGATGTCAGCAGTGCCCAGGCTGTCACCAAGGGCCATGTCTGGGTCCATGGCTCTATCACAGCTGGAGCCTGTGTGATAATAGCTGTGACCTGTGTTGCCACCCAAGGCTCAGGGAGGTAAACGAAGAGATAGATAGATTTTAAGAGCTAAAAGTTTGGGATATCTGCACATAAGGTTGTGTCTTCTAAATATAACAGGGAAGCTGCCTATACCCATGAAATCTCAAAAATATGCCAGCCTAAACTAGACCTGAACAATGGCAACACCAGTTGATAGGTGAGTTTAGATGGGGGAGATATTATGGACCCTTCCCCTAGATGAAGCCTTACACTTGTTACCTCAAAGTTTCTGAAGATGCCCTGATCTATCTCAGGACAGATTCCAACAACCTGACAGCCTTCTGGTATCACTACTAAAACCTCACCATGCCAGTATTGCTACCTAAGGAGCCAAACTTCATGGGGCGTTTAGAGCAAACGGTGGTTCTCTATATA